ACCGAAGGCACCGCGAGCATGGAGAGTCACCTAGTAGAAAAAGGGGGAATAAAATCACTGAAAGCAAAGCCAAATACTAGGAAGGCGAGTTATATTGAAGAAGAAATTTACAACGCTTATAAAATAGACAACCTAGCTTTTCCGGACACATTGATCTAGTGGTTGTGGCCTAGCACCTAGATTTATGCTCCAGAGGCTTGCATAAAACCATGAAGTGTACTTCTTCAAATGCTTGTGGTAATTTTAACCTGATTCCTCAATAGTCTCCCAAATTTACGAGTGTAATGTGATAGCACAGAACGGGAAAGCAGATTTGCAATAACAGGTTGAAAGTTTAATAAAAACGTGAAAAAACTACAGAAGACTTCGATTTTTTTTCGTGATTTCGAGTTAAAGCTTGACCAAAAAAACGAGCTCATGGTCCGCAGAATATGATTTTTGGTTCCAAGGTTCGTCGACGTCTGGGTTAGGTTGGACTCCTGAGTTAGGCTATAAATGGAGGCAGCAATAAACCCACGATTGACTTTAATTCATCAACAGAAATTACTTTCCTTACCTCTATAACCATCCAGACTCTGTGATACAATAAACAATACAACGGTTCGAAATGTTAGCACTTTTCATTCTAAAAATTCCGCTATGCTATTAACTTTAGCTGTCAAAAGGTTCATTATCAGATTCACGCTCCCCTTCAAATTGCGTAATGTTGGATAAAAGTTCATTAAAGAGTACTGGAATCGAGCTATTAGTTAAGGGGTCCAGTGTATCGGCTACTGACCAAACCAAATCAATCAAACCAAATCCGACTCTTACCGACTTTCCACCAGTAATAAGCTTCCTTGTTTTTGAATAGTTTGGAGAGATGGCCAACGCCTTAATGGGGCGATTGAGGTTCAGTAATTCACCATGTTCAGGTTCCGATAGGCTGTAGATGAATACCTGAGCAGAATGAGCAAATGAACAGGAAGGAACCTACAAAACCATCGTCTGCACAGGTAGCAACAAAATTGTCATCGTCTGATATACTGATTTGGTTGATTGGACAAAAATGCTACAAAACAAAATAAGTGAGTGTAGGAAGCAGATGGTAAGTTACATTGCATTGACCAGAATCACCTTTTTGTAAAATCCATTTTGAACGAGATTCCCGAGGTGATCAAAAATATTTACAGTTCCATCCTTGTGTCCCAAGACAATGAACTGAAAGTGGAAGGGCGTGATGGGAGCGAGTAAACGCCACAGAACATTTATAAAATACCTTCCAATGAGCGGCAACGATAGTGATCTCATTTTCAGCGCAGCTTCCCAGCAAATCATTTCCAAGTCGGTGATAACTCAGACTGGGCTCCTCAAGAGCAAACTCTGCTTCAACACCGGTCTCGGTCATCTAAGAGGTAATTGAAGACTTATGAAACTCTCCAAAACCTCTAACATGATAATTTGCGCAGCTCATGTGGCTGCGCTTAGAATGCCAAAAACCAAAGGAGGATCCAAAGCGTTCCTTACCCCAAACATGC